GCCGGCCTCGCCCCCATCCCCGGTGACTGGAGTGGATGCGGGATTCCTACCCACCCCGCGCCCCCGCTTCTCCTCCCGGCTCCCGCCCTCCACCTCCAGGGGAGAGAGGAGCTGTTTTTGAGGGGCGTCTTTCCCCTCACCCCCCAACGACCCTCCTTTTAAGATTCATTTTTTGCAGTTTGACGCCTGCCCCCACTCCCACCCACCCATCCACCCTTGAAACAGAAGAGACAGACACGTGGTCGTGGGCGCCTCCAGACACCCTGGCCCCGCCCCCTCCCGCACCCACTCGGTCCCCAGGGCCCTTAGCTGGGGAGGGGGGCACCCCAGGGCTCACCCCCCAAAACACACACACACACAGACTCTTTTGATACTGAAGGGAGGTTTGCGGCAACGACTACCTGCTCTGTAATTACTTTAAAAAAAAAACACGGAAAAAGTAAAAAAATATTTTTGGGTCATGAAAGCATGGAAAAGAGAGAAAAACGAAGTGAATGTGGACGGGGAGCTAAGGGGATTGGGACCCCTCACCCTGTTCACCCTTGACCTCGGAGGCCCCAGGTGGGGCCCCATCACCTGGCACCTGCAGCCCCTCTGAGGCAGGTCCTGGGGTGCTCTCTCGCCCCCACCTCTTAGCAGAAATGGAGGGGCCTGTATTAGTTTCCTGGGGCGGCCGTAGCAAAATTATAAAAACTGGGTGGCCCAGAACGGCCGGAATGTGGTATCACAGGTCGGGATCCAGGAGTCTGGGTGGGGGGGCCTGGCTGGTGACCCCAGAGGTTGCTAGGCTGGCGGCAGCTTTACCCCAACCTCCCCTGCGTCTCCATGTCCGTCGTCTTCCCTCTGAGCGTGCCTGCCTCTGTGTCCCAGTTCCCCCCCTCTTTAAAAAAAAAAAATATTGATTTTTTTACAGAGAGGAAGGGAGAGGAATAGAGAATTAGAAACATCGATGAGAGAGAAACATCGATCAGCTGCCTCCTGCACGCCCCCTACTAGGGATGTGCCCGCAACCAAGGTACATGCCCTTGACCGGAATCGAACCTGGGACCCTTGAGTCCTCAGGCCGACGCTCTACCCACTGAGCCAAACCGGTCAGGGCACAGTTCCCCTTTTATTAGGATGCGGGTCATGCTGGATGAGGGCCCTTCCTCCTCCTGCCCCACCTCACTGGCCCGTCTGCAAGGACTGTGTCCACGTCAGGTGACACGCACAGGTCCTGGTCAGCACCTCAGCGTGTCTCACCAGGCGGAGGGGGGGGGGGGGGGGGCGCGATTCAAGCCGTTACTGAGCCCAGCCGGAGCGCCCGTCTCCAGAAAGCAAAGTGGGTGTCGGTGAAGGGGGGTGACCTGGGGGCAAGGGGTGCTCCCTGGGGCCTGCTGGACCAGAGGGAGCCACACATTGTCTTGTAAATGCAGAGGCCGGAGAGATGGGGTCCAGACCTGGGTAGGGGGGAGGGGAGGATACACTGTCCCTCAGGGCAGGGGCCGCATGCAGAGCCCCAACCCCGCCCCCCAGGCCTAGCAGCCAGGGTGTGGGAGCAAACCCAGGGGTGAGCAGGGAGGCCAAGATGCTGGCGTCTGGGGCCTGCTGGACCAGAGGGAGCCACACATTGTCTTGTAAATGCAGAGGCCGGAGGGATGGGGTCCAGGCCTGGAGGGGGGGGGAGGATACACTGTCCCTCAGGGCAGGGGCCACATGCAGAGCCCCAACCCCGCCCCCCAGGCCTAGCAGCCAGGGTGTGGGAGCAAACCCAGGGGTGAGCAGGGAGGCCAAGATGCTGGCGTTTGAGCCTCTAGAGCAGCGGTTCTCAACCTGTGGGTCGCGACCCCTTTGGGGGTCGAACGACCCTTTCACAGGGGTCGCCTGAGACCATCGGAAAACACATATATAATTACATATTGTTTTGGTGATGAATCACTATGCTTTCATTATGTTCAATTTGTAACAATGAGATTGGGGGTCACCACAACATGAGGAACGGTATTAAAGGGTCGCGGCATCAGGAAGGTTGAGAACCACTGCTACAGAGGACTGGGCGCCATCCGTGCTGTCTAGACAGACAGAGGCCGACGGAGGCGGGTCCACGCACACGCAGGGCTGGGTCCGGAGCAGGCCGGGTCTCAGCCCCCTCTCCCCCCTCACCTCGGCCCAGCCTGGCCCGGTACAGAGCAGGGCTGGGTGCTGTGGAGGACACCCCGGCCCCCCGGAGTTGAGGACAGAGGTGGGGGCCCACAGCAGTTCATCTCCTCCACCTGCAGCTCTTACGGCAACCTCTTCCCTCACGGGCAGAGGCCGCAGCGGCCGCGGCTGGGATCTCGGCTCAGGACTCTCCCTCGCTCCCTCTTTCATGCTCCTTTTCTCCCTCGTCCTCTTTCAGAGCCATCCCTGGTTGCCATGGCAACGCTGCAGCGGGTACCAGGTGGCGGCTGGGGGCAGGGAGCCGGGCGCTGCTGCAGACTCCGCCATTTCCGATGCCAGGCACCCACCAGGCGCGCTGGCTGGGGCTCCTTTGGGGGGCACTGGGCCTCCCCAGGCCTCGCAGGCTTCTCCTTGACCGATGGGACGGGGGGAGGCGGGAGGGACAGTGTGGGGGTGAGAATACAACACTGGGAGGGGTGCTGCCGGCCTGGTGGCCCGGGAAGAGGAGGATGAGTGGTCGGAAGTCAAGGTGAACTGAGGGAGGTCCTGGCCCCCGGCTGGGGTAGCCGACTCCATCCCGCCGCCTTGTGGGGAGACGAGGAACGACCAGGCCAGGCCTCCAGACCTTGCAGTGGGGAGATGTGGGCCTGGCCTGGCTGGGGACAGCATGGCAGCCAGCCCAGGTGAGATGGGGGTGGGGGCTGGAAGGATGGAGGTCCAGGGAGGCCGGCAGGCAGAGCACAGCAGCAGAGGGATCAGAGACAGACACAGAGACCCAAGTGGAGGAACGTTGAGCCAAGACCTGGGGGAGTGACCATGGGGGGGGGGCCAGGGGGGGGCATTGGCAACGCAGGAGCAAGGGCACAGACTGAGAGCCCAGAGTCCCTATCACCATCTCTTCTCCCTGCTCCCAAACCTCAACCCCCACCCCAAGCAGGATGCAGTTTCCATGACAACCTGGCCGGGCCAGAAAAGGGGGCGGGGGACTGCAGAGGAAATTTTCCACATCAGCAGCAAGGGAGGAGGGCACGGTGCAGGGAAGGAACTGGCCCATACGATGGGGGCCATGCAGGGCCCCTGGAGCCCCAAATCACCATGCCCACAGCCCCGAGCACCGTCACCCCGCCTCCGCCCAGCCAACTGGCACCCTCACCTCTGGGCTGCGGGGAAGGGGGACGGCTTGGGAGAGGCTCAAGGGTCAAATGTCCAAAGATCAGCGGCTGCCCAGGCCTGGTGTGTGGTGGGGGGAGCGGGCAGCCGGCAGCTGACGGAGCTCGGACCGCAGACCAGACCACCAGACTCAAGGACATGGCCCTGGACAGGGTCCCGCGGAGGGTGGGAGTGGTGGGCTACGGCCGGCTCGGTGAGTCCCTGACCCTCTGGGGCTCCTCCCCAGGCCCCTTCCTGAAGCCCCCAAAGCCCTGTGTCCGCCACAAACACACCTTTCACCTTCTCTAGGTCTCTGTCCCCCTCCCCCTGGGTCTCTGTCCCCCTCCCCCTGGGTCTCTGTCCCCTGTTCTCTGAGTCTCTTGCCCTCCTCCCAGGACAGTCCCTGGTCTCCCACCTGCTGACTCAGGGGCCGGAACTGGGCCTAGAACTGGTTTTTGTCTGGAATCGAGACCCAGGACGCCTGGCAGGGAAAGTGCCCCCCTCCCTGCAGCTGCAGAACCTCGCTGACCTTGGGGAGAGGTCAGTGACCTTGCCCTGAGCGAGCAGGGCTCCCGGGGCGAAGCTCCTGTTCTGGCCTCCCTTAGCTGCTGTGTGACCTCAGGCACGTCCCTCACCCTCTCTGGGCCTTGGGTCACCCAAGTATGAGTTGGGACAAGCCCATCCGCCCTGTTTCCCCTCCCAGGCCTGGGTGAGGAGTGACGGGCCACGACAGACCGAGGGAATCTGGGGAAGGGAGGCCTGATCTCTCTCCAAGGCCCTCCCCTCCTCTCCCCTCTCCTAGGCACCCCGACCTTGTGGTGGAAGTGGCCCATCCCAAAATAATCCAGGAATCTGGGGCACAGATCCTGCGCCACGCCAACCTCCTGGTGAGCCCTGCCCCTTCCTCCTCAGCCCCACCCCACCCCAGAGTGGGATGGGTCCCCTGACCTCTGCCCCACCCACCTACACCCACCCCAGGTGGGGTCCCCCTCAGCCCTGGCTGACCAGGCCACAGAGCGGCAGCTCCTGGAGGCTTCCAGACGCTGGAACCACGCCGTGTTCGTGGCCCGGGGGGCCCTGTGGGGCACTGAGGACATCAGCAGACTGGACGCGGCTGGCGGCCTCCAGGTGAGGGCCTGTTGGGGTCCCCAGGAAGCGGAGGGGCTCTGCAGAGACCCCTGGGCCCCCCTGACCCTGGCTGTCACTTCCAGAGTCTCCGTGTCACCATGGCCACACATCCCGATGGCTTCCGGCTGGAGGGTCCCCTGGCCGCAGCTCAGAGCACCGGGCCCCGCACTGTGCTCTACGAAGGCCCTGTGCGCGGGCTCTGCCCCTTTGCCC